CCATGTTGGTTCTGAAGAAGCATCTTTTTGTGTTGGTTGCAGATCAAAGTGCCCTGTGGACTTTCAACACAGTTTGTTTTGATGTCCAGCGACGGATCCTCTCATCCATTCAGCACAGACAGTGTTCGGTATGATTCCATTTTATCTTTGAGATTGCATTTAAATCAATTGTTATACATATGTGGTTCCAAATCAGAACTTCTTATTGATATTAGTTATCCAAGTGCCCTGTGGACTTTCAACACAGTTTGTTTTGATGTCCAGCGACGGATCCTCTCATCCATTCAGCACAGACAGTGTTCGGTATGATTCCATTTTATCTTTGAGATTGCATTTAAATCAATTGTTATACATATGTGGTTCCAAATCAGAACTTCTTATTGATATTAGTTATCCAAGAACCAAAACAAGTAAAAGCACAAGGAAAAGACCTTTTCGCTGCTAGGAACGGGCTAATATCTAGGATTGTTAGAGGAAAAGTGCATTTAGTTTCCACTTCTTTATTTCATTTCAGCATTTATCTGTCTTGTTTCTTTTTCAGAAAACTTTGCCTCTGATGTCTAAGTTTGGCGGAACAGGGATAGTGTGTAATTAAAAACAAAATGAGGCGGATTCCAAATTTGGAAATTTTTATTTATTTATATATTTGTCATCTTTTGAGGCATTCAAGTAAAAGATTCTTATTTCTCTCGATAATTTAATGATTTTGATACAATGCTTTTCATTTTCTTTTGTAGAATGCGCGACACTCTTGTGTTGACCATGAGAATGTTCCAAGCCAAGGTATGCATTCAGATGCATTATTAGTTCTTATGTCTGTCTCGGCTTGTTGCACATAATGTAGAAGTTGGCATTGCTTACTAATTTTTCTTTTGAAAGCTCTTACTTTATAATAACTCGATACAACTTCCTTTTTTTTTCCTTTTCTTTCTTATTTAATACACAACTGAAAGATACGTGTTAAGGACAAAAAGAAACGTAAATCAATTTTCAGGTTCATTTTAAGTTTAGCAAAGAAAAAAAAAGTTGATTTTATCATCTGTAGCTCAAAAGCGGAGAAAATCATAAGGATTTAGTCTTCAGGGCATCTAGTGCCTTGCTTGAATAACACTTGACAAATTATCAGATCTCAAAGAATCAAATAACATGTTTGGCCATTTTTGTAACAAGACATATCTTGGACATTGATTTTTCTTCTTTTTTGTTTCTCTCTTTTGTTCCTTCTTTTCTGGCCCACTTGTCTTACAACAAATTTTTTTTTTTTTTTTTTTTTTTTAAAATCTCTAAAACTCCCACGTTTGACCGTGGACTCTTTTGTTAGCAGGCACTTGATGATAAGAGGAAAGGAAGAGCATAGCCCCTACATTTCATTTTTATAGCTGATATTCATTCGTAGTTTACAGTGAGCAGTCATAAAGTAAGGAATAATTTGTCTCCTAGTTTTGGTCATAATGAGAATTGTTGTTGTATAATTTTTTATTTTACAACTTTAAGCATCAGAAGACCGCAATTGACCAAAAAAAAAAAGCGTTTTGTATAGGTTATTAGCGACCACATACTTTCTCGAGTCACCCACCTTAATGAACTTTCCATATTTTACTAGCAATATCCCTTGGTTTGGTACAATTGATTGGGGCATAAATTTTCATCCTATGTAATAAAAACAAAAGTTAGAATGAAACTTGTTCAATTCTATGATTTCATACAAGAATCCTGATGTGTAATTTCTAAATTCAATGTGCCTTCTTCCTGTTAAATGTTGCTTTTTTTTTTTTTTGCATGATGGCATAATCTGGTTATCAATTTAGTTTGTCATGGAAAATGATATGAATGTATGTTTATATGGCCATGCATACATAGATACGTAGGGTTTGAGGTTGAATCATATCGTTTTTTATCTGTTTTTTCAATTCCAAGGCAAAGGGCTAAGTAAAAAAAAAAAAGAAATATTGTTTATCCAAAACAAAAAAAGAAACCTGTAATTGTTTTTTTTCATCCGAAAAACCTTTTTCTTTTGGTTCTACATTCCTATCCTGAAATAATGAATTGAGTTCATTTAGGCATTTTGGATGCTGCGCAATAGCTTTTTTGGTACTCCACTCATTTCATAAAGTATTTTACTTGGTTTAACGACAGCTACTCAATATTCAAGAGGACCGGGAGGTTGGCCTCGACCTCTTCTTTGAGTTTCGCCAGATTGGGCCTGGATGCATTACCAATTCGGAAGTGCACACCTCATAGTAGAGTTAGGTGTGGATTTACCGTTAAATAATTACTATAACAAAATAAAAAATAAAAATAAAAAAAGACACTTAGAGCAAAAGAAAAGACAAATACTTGAGCAACAAAGTCCGCAGATGAGGATTAAGGATGTAAAAATCCAGCAACATTTTATAGGGACTTGCATTTGCTTGGTGGAATTTACATTTCTATGCGATCCTAGAAAATACTTGAAAAAAAAATGCATAATTATAAGGGAAATAGTAAGAAATAGGTTAATATGAAAAGTTTAAGAAAGTATATAGGTCAACTTTTAGTTATAGAAATTAATAGGTTATAACTTATTAAGTTATGATTCATAATCATATAAGTTATGGACAAACTTGTCAAATTATGGTTCATAGCCAGACAAGTTATGGACAAAAACCGAGAATAACTTGTCAAGTTATGGTTCATAACCAGATAAGTTATGGACGAAAACAGTAATTTAGCCTATTTATTAACTTATGTAAATTATTAACCTATTAATTTTAATTCATCTCAATTCTTAATCTATTTCTCTCTTTCTATTCACCTTTTTTCTCTTTCCATTGTTTAAAGAAAGATACAGGTGGGGAAAAAGCTTCCTCAACAATTTTCTTTTTTTCTTTTTTCTCTGTTTTTTTTAGGTTAACGAAAAAAGGAAAAGAAAGTAAACCGGTTGATCAGCGTTGTAGGGCTTTGGTGTTAAAATGTTGACCAAACTTTGGATGCTTTTCCGCATGCAGTGTTTACTGTTTAGATTTGTTGGTTCTCCAGCATAAAGTAGATGGCAATCATTCTTCAAGTGAAGAGTCCAAATGTGATCATATTTCAGTCTCACCGCGAGAAATCTTTCTGGAATACAGAATATTCACTCATAACTTCCAAGGATACTACATACCATAAAACTAGTTATTGAGCAATTCACGTACATGAGATGGGATTTTTTTATTTAAAAAAAAAAAAAAAAAAACTTTTTGCTACAATAAACAAAGAGATTCGTATGGTAAGACTTGAAAAATAAACTACACATAAATTTATTTTTAACTATTGAATCTGTGTCTACTTTTTAACGATAATATGATTTTAATTCGTTCAACGGTTAGAAATATACGCTATCAATAGGAGGCCTTACAAAGAGAATGAAAATCATTGAGTGCAGAATGGCCTGAACCCAGAAAACAAAACAATTCCATAACACAGAAACGTGTAGGTTTGGTAAGTTTTGGTTCTGCATACAAAAATGTTAATGCAAGTTGCAATTTTCTATGTCTGTATTTGAAATTGTGTGGCGTAGAAGCCGCCACACCCTTTGGCCTAGAGTACACAAGTTGCGTGTGACACTTTTCCTCCTTATAATGTGCTGGCTAACGTCACTATTCTTCAATACTTTTTTTTTTCTTCTTCTTTTTGGTTAGAATTTTAAGGTGGCAAATCGCCACAATCACCGACTAAGCCCTAAGCACATCTAAATAAACATATTATTTGTTTACTCAATCACTTTGACGTTTGATCTCACACGCGTTTACTTCAGTTAGTCAACTAACAGTCACCTCTCCAACCGATAATTCTCGATGAACAAACAATGCCAAAATAAGAAATTTAAAATAACAAAAATAAATAAACAAATAAATAAATAAAAGAATTCTCTTAGAGTGTAAAGGATTTTTATTTTTTTTTCACAATTAGATTACAAAATAATTACAACATTGACAATAGTGACAGAACTAGGAATTTGTTTGAGAGGATATGAACTAAATCAAAATTTTTATAAGCTAAATAACATGCATTTATTTTTTTAATTATATATATATATTATCAAAATGAACCAAAATTTGTACCTAAGTTAAATTCACTTTTTTTAAAAGCCCGATGATTCGAGTTTTTAATTCGAGTTGAGATGTGATTTTGTGTGAATTTTTTACTGTAATAAAAAAGTTAGATGTAATTGTTTGTGAGAGTCTTTTACTGCAGTAAAACTCAAATTCTAAACTCGAATCAACGAAATGAACGGAGCCTTGCAATCCATTCATATTAGAACAACTGATTTACTGAGCGCAAAAATACTTGATATTGTCATTACTTTTTTTTTAAGATTCTGAGTGCAGAAATACTTGATATTGTCATTACTTTTTTTTAAGATTCTGTCAAATAGTAGCTATCACGGGCTATTTGATTACTTGCACTTTGATATTAATGTCACACAAACAATCATTTCTTTTACTTTAATTAGTCAACTAACCATCACATTCTAATCTACCATTCCCATCGAGGAAACATGGCAAACTTCAATTACAATAAAGAAAAAGAGACGTAATATATAGTAGGGTATATATAAAAATACTTTACCGGTGCTAAATTTTATTTAACCACTTGATTTTTTTCACTTAAGTTGCATTATTCGTTCAAAGTGTTTCAAAGCGTGAATAATAGATAATTATACACAACCACAAAAATCTCAAACAAATAATACTATGGATAAGCAGCATATTTGTCAGGCTTTAAAACTATTTGCTCATTTATTTGTCACTTTGAGGTTTAATCTCACACACAAACCATCATTTGTTTCCCTCAATTAGTCAACTACAATCACCTCTCTAACTACCATACCAATTCCACTCAACAAAAAGAATGCTAAATATAACCTACTCATCCCTAATTACTATTAGTTTCTCAACCAATTATTAGTAACATGTAAGAGATGAGACGTAAACTTGTAATCAATGAAAACCTTAAATAAAATAAAACAAAATACTATTTATATTAGTCACATGGCAAAATGAAACTTGTTTCTAATTTTTATTATGTCGTAATTAAAAAATTATTATTATTATTATTATTACTAATTTACGTAATGCAGCACCAAAGAGTCATAAATAGCAGTAGCGGAAAGAAATAATAATAATAATCAGTTTTCATAATACTTACAGCCAAAGAAAAACAATAAAGTTAAAAGCAAAAGGAATAAGAAAAAGTAAAAAGAAATAAACAAAAAGAAATAAATAAATAAAAGTAGAAGATAAGAAGATACAAATTGATTTCTACATCTCTACTTTGCTTCCCTTTCCATCTAAGCCCCCTCTCTCTCTATCTCTCTCCTCCATTTTCTATTCCCACAAACTCATTTGCCCAAACTTCTCATCTCTCTCTCTCTCCTCTTTTTCAGACCATGTTGTTGTTGTTATAGTAGTTAGTGCCACTAATCAAATCCCAGTTTCCAAGATCTCAAAAATTCAAAACAAAAAAAAAAACAAAAAAACTCAGATAGTTTTTCAGATTTGTGGGTAGTGATCATTGAGTCAGAGAAAGAGAGAGAGAGAGAGAGAGAAAAATGGCAGCTTCTTTTGACAACTCCCCAAACCCAACTTGGTCGTCATCAGTTTCACCGTACGACAACAATTTCAAGGACTGCTCTCAAGGGCTCTGCAGCCTCTACTGCCCACAATGGTGCTACATGATCTTCCCTCCTCCGCCGCCTTTTTTCGCCGCTGACGCCGACTCCGACGACCAAGACTCCGGCGCCGATTTCTCCCCCCTCATCATCGCCGTCATCGGAATCCTCGCCAGCGCTTTCATCTTGCTTAGCTACTACACCATCATATCCAAGTACTGCCGCCGGAGATCGGCAAACGACAACGGTAGAGGATCCGCGACGGCGGAAGGAAACGACAGCAATGCCAACCAAACGACGGCCTCCGATCAGTCGTCTCAGGCCCACTCGGAGGGACTGGAGGAGAATCTGATCAAGTCGATTAGGGTGTATAAGTACAAGAGGAGTGAGGGGTTTGTAGAAGGTACGGACTGCTCGGTTTGTTTGAGTGAGTTTGAGGAGAATGAGAGGCTGAGATTGCTGCCCAAATGCAATCATGCCTTTCATGTTCGTTGCATTGATACTTGGCTCAAATCCCACTCTAGCTGCCCGCTTTGCCGCTCGATTATCGCGCCTTTCATCTCCGACGGAATGCGGCAAAGTGAGGTGGTGAGTGGTGGTGGTGGTGGAGTGTCGGCAATGGAGTATCAAAGCAGAAGAAACGAAAGTGTCGTTGTTGTTGTTGACGATAATATGGAAGTGAGTGTTAGAGAAGAAGGGCTTTACGGCGACGGTGGTGGCGACGGCGATGTGCCAAAAACCCCGACCGGCGGGGTCGAAGGTCATGACGAGATTGATCGGATCGATGTGGAGCCAATCGGGAGATCAGTTTCGTTAAATTGTCATACTTTTTGCTCGCAAGATCGTCTCTCGGTCGCGGATATATTGCGAGCTTGCGATGATGATGAGGAGGAGGAGGATTTGGTGGTTCAGATGGAGAATGGATTCCAATTATGTATGGGAATTGGGACATCTTCAAAAGGAGGAGTTGATGATCTGATCAATCAGCAGCAGCAGCAGCATTGCAAATGGGACAGAAGTGGGGCCCTTGGTTTGCTAAGGAGTCCTCTTGCTATGAAGAGATCAATTTCAACTGGGAGATTTGTGTTCGCAACAAGGCATGGGAAGGGAAAGAATTCTGTTATTCCCAATTGAATGATCTTGATTAAAATTCTTGTTCTTCTTTAAATGTATAAACCCCCAGAAATACCACAAGATCTAGAGATGTCTTTCATGTAACTTTCAGACTAATTAAGAAGAAAAAGAATGAAGAAGAAAATACTCTTTTCTTCTACTGTTTTGCATATTGACCGTAAATAGACTTATTACTCGTTTAGTTCGCACGCGTGACTTTATGTGAGAGTTTTTTACTGTAGTAAAAAAATTAGATGTAATTATTTTTAAGAATTTTTTACTGTAATAAAACTCGAATCGATGAAATGAACGATGTCTTATAAACTTTAATTATACCCATGTGTAAGTGTTTAAAATGGCGGATATTGCCATATTTATATCAAAATTAATATGATTAAAATATGGAGTTTACAAGAGAATAGTTTTTTGATTATTTTTATTTTTTATGCAAATCTTCCTTCTCGATTCAGATTTTATATACGCTATCAAAGAATTCTCATTAAGATATACAGGTAAAAGTACCTTTTATACTCTACGGCAACATACGGTAGTATCCTATAAATGATGATAAGAACATGGGCAGAGAGCGTTAGAAGAGGGGTGATCCCGTTCACTGATTTAAGTTTAGAATTTGAGTTTTGTTATAGTAAAAAGCTCTCAGAAACAGTCACATTTAAATTTTTTGCTACAGTAAAAAGTTCTCACATAAAATCATATCTCAACTCGAATTAAAAATTCGAATCAGCAAACTAAACGGACCCGTAAAGTGTTGTGTAATTGGTGACTTGAATGACAAGTTTTGCCCGGAGGATGCATCAAGTGATAGTTTGTCACAACAACCTTTGGTGAACTATGTGTTTATAATGAACATTTTTAACTGTTTAATAATGGAAGGGCTAAAACGAAGTAAAAGGTAAAGTTTGTGGACTGCGTGGTAATTTTTTAAAGTTGAGAGAAAACTCCAATACAAGATGCAAATTTTAGGATTCCTAATCCCTAATTTTAATGGGAGTTTCTCTGGTAGACCAGTTCTACTGGTAGTGTCAGTTTTTAACCGTTAAATTATGTCAAAATCACACCAAATTAAAAAAATATGCAGAACAACGTCTTTGATATAGATCTAACGGCCAAAAAATAGATAAGTTCTCTAATTATAATTTTAATTCTTATTTTTATTTGTTGTCTTCTAATTATAGCTTAATTTATTGGACTACCCTTATTTTATAGTTCATACTTCAAGAAATCTCTACAGAGAAATGAATTTGAAGTTTCAACTTTCCTTAAACAATAAGCTAGGTGGGTCACCTAATTTGATTGTTTGTGTCCATTGTGATTACATGCATTAAATAAGCAGAAGTGTACACATATACTAATACTACCAATACAACAAGCCAAAGAGAAAAAAAAAATAAATAAATCAAACGTCCAAATGTGAACACTTATATGTCCCTTACGAAGGGTGAGAACTATTACAAACTAAAGCGTGCCGTTCACTTCGCTGATTCGAGTTTGGAATTCGAGTTTTTCTACAGTAAAAAGTTCTCACAAACAATCACATCTAACTTTTTTGCTGCAGTAAAAAGCTCTCACATAAAATCACATCTCAACTCGAATTCTAAACTCGAATCAGCGAAGTGAATGGGAAATAGAATTATTGAAGGCTTGGGGTCTCAACCACCGTTTCTTGACATGCCACCGCAACCCCCATGTTCCTGTCAAAACATTTTTCCGCACTTGACAAGAAATTATATAGTGAAGTGAAAAAAAAGGGCAGCTTTTACCCATAAAAGGAAATGGAAATATTGATGCCAAATATATTTGTTTCAGATATTTGATCGAGTTCAATCGACTTTTGAGTAGCACAACATATTATAAGATACTCATTACTCCAACTTTGAATATTGTGTGTGATGTGTTGTAATCCTCTTTGCTTTCATGATGTGCTTTTTTTTCACTTTTTCTTTTTTTCTTTTTGTTTTTTTTTTTAAATGTATGTAGAATAATCTCAACAATAAAACTTGGCCAAAAAAAAAAAAAAGTAAACTCAACTAAAAATGTCAATCTTATCATTTCGTGAGTTTGATCCATAATCGGTTAAGTCTATATGTGCTTCTTATCACGTTAGGTTTGATTTATTAAAGTTTCGTGTTGTATCGTATCAGTTCAAGATTAAAAATCTTAAGCCCAACCTAGACATATCTCATGGAAGAAATGAGACAAATGGCCCTTAAAAATGTATGAGTCAGAATTTCTACCCCTTACTCTTGATTAATAACTTTTTTAATCAAATAATTATACCAACAAAAGAGTATTAATCAAGAATAAAGAGTAAAAATCCAACCTATACACTCTTAAGGGTAAATTCACGCACTCTTAAAGATAAATTCTGTAATTTTCTCTATCTTTTCTCTCATTTAAGCTTATGTTCGATACAAAAAGCCCATTGGTTGATCCGTCGAGGCCCTTGAGCCTATTAGCTAGGGTTTTATTTTAGAATGAGCATAAATTAAAAATGAAAGATATACTCAAATCGTGATTCTTGAGTCTGATGTTTGAAATTCAATTTTCTGTGAGAAGAAAACACTGTAGCAAAATCAATTATTTAAGTTTGAGTATATGAAACAAACGAGACCTAAAACTCTCAAAATTTTAACTCCTAATACTATTAATAGTTGGAAGGACATGTTACACACATACATATTTAGTTTATTGAATTTCTTGCATAAATTTAAAATTCTATGAAGAGATCAATTTAAAAAAAAATTGCAATTTTCTTACTTGTTTAACGTTTTTAATTAAAATGTATTTTCAGCTCAATATTATATGTGTATAGACACGCATAACATATTTTGAGTCATAAAAAATTTAGAGGGCAAAATAGATAAAAAAAAATTAGTTAGAAATGCACATATGAGAAACTAGTAGAATGTTTAATTTGTAGGGACACATTTAAAATAAATATTATATCAATAAGGGCAAACTAGAGAAACATATTTATGAGATAACAATTAATAGGGTTGTGTGAAAAAAATTTCTTGAATAAGGATACATTTTTAAACATTTATATTAACGGGCCATTTATAAAAAGTTTTCCTGTTTGATATCGTTTTTGATGTGATAAATACTACATAAATTTAGATATAATGGACGTATTTGAACTTTGATTAATTAAGAAGGGACAACTATGAAAATAATTTAAGAACTTTACGCATTTAAAGGAAAAAAAAAACCAAAACTTTAGGGGTTAAAACTTAAACAGAGAACACAATATGGGCCTTATTAAGTAAAAAAGGTGTTTTCTTTTTTGGCAACATCATATGTGTATTCCATCTCGTTTTAACACCTGGCTGAAAGGATTAAAACTGAAATAAACTCATAGATTCAAGTTAAATTTAGAAATTTTAGTAGTTAGGGATAAAAAGAGCTAAAGAAGAAAATTAAAGGACCCTTTTTGAGATTAATCCTAAATTTAAGAAAGGCAGGAGGAGTAGTACTGCCCAGCTGGACACCCAACTCAGTCAAGCTATAAACAATAATTATAATCCCAATAATAATAGCTTAGGTGGAGATTAGTCTCGTAGCTTAATTAAAAATGACACTGACCATATTTTCGTTTATGTTAAGGTCTTGTTCGTTTTGCGGATTTAAGTTGAGATGTGATATTTTTTAAAAAATTTTAACTGTAACAAAAAAAATTAGATATGATATTTTTAAGAGTTATTAACTGTAGAAACTTAAAACTGAAAACTCGAATCGATAAAATGAACGAAACTTAAATTTTGCGAGTAAACACCACTTACTAAGTTGCTATGGCCAATAAACGTAGGAGAAGACTTGTGACGTAAAATGACTCATTTAGCATATTTTGTTCCTTATTATATTGTAATAGTAATACTTGCCCACAAGATCACTCTGTATTTCTACATCTTAAAAGAAATAAAAATAAATAAAAAGTGATAGTTTGAATGGCAGAAGAAATATTTTCCCCAATGATAAATGGCTAAAATTATTTAGTAATTACTTGAGTTTGGGCCTTTCTATTTTGCAAAGCACATACAGTCAAAATCAACGTGATATGAATTTATTTTTATTCTGACGAAAATGTCATCCAACAACATACATTGAAAGTAATATTCAATGTTTATAAATTCTTCGGGGAAAATGCCTTATGAATTTATTTTTATTCTGACGAAAATGTCATCCAACAACATACATTGAAAGTAATATTCAATGTTTATAAATTCTTCGGGGAAAATGCCTTATGAATTTATTTTTATTCTGACGAAAATGTCATCCAACAACATACATTGAAAGTAATATTCAATGTTTATAAATTCTTTGGGAAAAATGCCTCTGGAGATTTTGCTAGAGAGAGAGCATTATTTGCCGGACAACAAATCAAAACAACCCTGCTATTTGAAAAAGAAAAGGAAAAGGGAAGAAGAAGAGAAAAGAGAAAATCGTTCAACTTATTTTTAGAATGTATAAATCTATATTTTTATTATTTATTTTTAATTAATATTATTTTATTAACATAATTATTTAATTAAAAAAGATATTGATTAAAAATAAAATATAAAAATTTAAACTCATATATTTTAAAAGATATTTGTCTCAATTTTTAAAAAGAAGATGAAAACAACCCACATGGAGATACAAGATGGGTCGGGCCGGCCTAGTTCTGTGCAGTTTCAAGGTCTGCACGACATATAGGCTAGCCTAGTCTAGAAATGGTGGGCCATTGGCATGACCTATTAGGCTGCTAATACTTTGTCCATTATAAACAAATCTTTGTTGTTCCTAAAATGCCAAACTTCAACAAAATGTTACTAGTAAATTATTAAGCCCCTACATCTTACATAATACGTTACATTATTTACATGCCATACCTTTTGTGCCTTTAAATTTACGAAAATAGTAGAAAATAAAAACTTAAGGAAGTATATAGGTTAACTTTTAGTTATAGAAATTAATAGGCTATAACTTGTCAAGTTATAGTTCATAATCAGATAAGTTATGGATAAACTTATCAAGTTATGGTTCATAACTAGACAAGTTATGGATAAAAACCG